ACACACACACACACACACACACACACACACACACACACACACACACACATACACACACAAACCCCCACACAGACACACATTCACCTCACGCCTAAGTCCAGTACTGTTCACTAAAATTATAGTTATCTAAGTTCGAGTGCAAGTACACCTTTTGGTCCGGAGTGTGGAGAGGCTGGCGATCTGTAATACAGGTCTCCTAGTACGGACGCCAGTCTCTCATACAGACTTAATGATGTAACATTACTTAGATAAGTCACTACTTTAAATATTCTAAGACTTTGTGAGAGAACAATAAAGATTATTATTATATTATTATATTACTGTGTCTTTCACTTTCGCCTCCTCCACTCGCAGATATGAAGAGACTGATGCGAGTGGAGGAGGCGAAAGTGTTTTGTCAAAAGCGTAGTAAGTGGCTGTTTATGTCTCTAACTATCCCAGCGAGAGCGAGCCTTGACGGTATGTACATAATTGTGAACGCATGTTCTAGAGCTTATGTTTGCTGGGTATACGAATGTTAAGTAGGTATGTTAGTCATTCTTCACACACTTACTAAGCGAACTTATTAGAGTTTCATAGTATAAAAAAAATAGTAAAGTCAATGGATATTTACAATTTTTTTTTTCTATGTACTTAATTTGTATGCAAATATTGTACCATAGTACAGTGTCCTTGACCTTTGTGGCTTCATATTAGGGGAGAAATCAGAACGTGACTCGATTTTACACACCGCCGAAAAGGACAAAGTCTCCCATAGCCCACGCGAAGAAATCACCACCATGGAACGAACTGGACATTTTCTTAAAAAGGATATTCTAATATTAAACCATCATCTTCGGATTGAAAATTATTCCAAAGCTTGATAAAGGAATACTTTTAATGTTTTTGAATAGTTACGTTAAATAGCAATTCTTTTTTTAAATTTCTAACAAACCTATATAATTATGACTTATCGATCTACATTCAAATAACAAAAACAACATAGGGCGTGTAATAATCATAAGGTAATTTCCGAAATGCAAAGAGAAATTTTATATTATTTTTATTCAAAGATGAAGATGGTGGGGAAAATGTTACGCGGTCTGAAACTATAAGTAAGAGGTGGTCGCACGCGCAGCGTAAAGCTCCGTGTTTCCCGTCAAGTGCTCAGTGTCAAGCGCAAGCGCACGCTGGTACCATCGCAACCAGCATAAACATTACCATTGTGATTTTATTGGCTGCACCAGTGTGTGTTCCTAACGTGGATTTACTAAAAAAAACATTTACAGGTGAGATTTCTTCAATTGAATAACTTAATCCAAAAAATGCACTAAAATAAAAATAAAAAAGTTTTGAATCTAGAAGTGTATGTAGAAAAAATGTACATATATAATATTTATATTTCAGTTGTTACATAGGAGTGTCATTCCTTTATTTCGTATCTTAAATACATTTAAGTAAAAATCGAAAAACTTCAAGTACATTTGGCATGAAACGAAATTGACAACAATGCTCAAATATGTACGAAGATTATATTATTTTACTTTCGTTCGAATAATAAATAAGGTCACTATGTTAAGAGCTGCATACTATTTAAACATGAAAAATGTAATTTAATTAAACTATTTCCGCTTGAATTCAATAAGTCTAGTAAAGAAGAAATTTATGTAAATCTGTATTTCAGAAACAACATGACAGTAAATTCTAATTAATTTTATTTTCGGTGTTGAAATAGTAGGTTATAACTTAGCGAAGTAATTCTGAAATTCGATTCTCCTCTAAATTATTAAATTCTTAATAATTTAGAGGAGAAACGAATTTCAGGAGAATGAAAAAAAAATATAATTTAAAAATCGAACTTTTAACTGTCAAGGCTTTTGTAAATGAAGACATACTATATTTACTATACAATAGCCATTACATGCACAAAGGAAATATTTGTGGTTTCCAGTCTCAGCCGCGGAGTATTTTCTAATATTCTTTACGATTTTCACTAACTCTTATGTCGTAGACTAGTACTGCTAGATAGTTAGATACGTACACTTATCAACAGTGAATGTACATAACGTTCACTGTTGACATGATGTATGTAAATTATGAAATAAAGGATGATTTCGTATTATATATTTCGATAACGAAATTCAATTCAAAACATTGGTTCCAACCGACCAGCTAAATAATAAAGAAAGTTAGTACTTTTACTTAAAATAACAATAAACGTATGTATAATAAATTTTGATTTTAACTGTAATTAAACTGCATTTTTTATTCAGGGATGTAGGTAGAGCTACCGTTATAAAAATTTTATACAGCGTTCAAACGCTTTCATATTTTCTCTGTGTAAAGATGATATGAATCTACTCGTTAATTATAAATAAAGATAAGTTTAAACGCAATCTTACTTCAAGTAAATCTAAATAACTGCTTCGTCAGAAAATGAGGCTTACTTTCCAGGGAGGAATCTGCTAAATTTGCTCCAATGTTGGTATATACAATATATTAAACAAGAGCAAATTGAAATTTTAAGTAACAGTAGAGTTCCTTGTGAAAGAGTTCGTCCAGGGCACTACTTCCACCTTATCCATTTCTGTCGCCGGTTTGAAGGGTAATGGTGCTGGTGAAATGACAGGCACATGGGACTTGTCCACTTGTCTTAGAGTGACAGGCGCAGTGGCAGTGTACTTCAGCTCTTTGCGATTTAAAGCTCTGAGTGGCACTGCTACTGTTACAGGTGTGTCGCTTTACACCAGGCGCACGACTTGTTCGTCCCGTCACTTCCCGTTAATTTTTGTTGAAACCTCGTCAGATCGCAGGTGATTATTTCAAAAGGTTTACTTTCAGTCCTATTTATTGAACTAACTCATATATTTAACTGCCTCAGTGGCCGAACGGTTACCACACTGGACTGCCACGCAGAGGTCCCGGGTTCGATTCCCGGGCCGGGGGAAATATTTGTATGGCGTACATTTACTTCTTTCGTGAGTTTGGGTGTAATTTGTGGTTGTATGTCCATGGCACCCGCGATACTGGGTTTTTCCTAGTGCGGGGCTATGAGTGTGTGCGCGTTATTATTATTATTTACTTTATTCTTCTCAGCTTGTTAGCTGGTTTGAACCGCATATTATTATTATTATATCTATTTTATACTCTCGCCTCTCCCAAGGCCTGAAAGATTAATTTTAAATTTTTAAATGGGAGAGGGGGTACTTCCCGGCAATGGCAATTATTATTATTATTATTATTATTATTGTAATGTAGCCTGACACGGGTATGTTTACGGGTAAGTTGTCAAGGCTGGCCAAAGCAGCTGAGCAAGCCGCGACTATCAATGAAGATGTGACCGCAAGCTGCAATGCTCAAAATGCACGAATTGCAACAAACAGTGAGCTACACTTCTTAATCCTTGTAAGATAAAAATTAAAAACATTTTTCCCAAACTTTTTTTTAATACATTATACAGTTATAAACTGATATAAATTATTTCAGTAATAAATAAATATATATAATAAAAGTAAATGTCGATACAAGACGGTTTAAATCGAACTATGGTTAAATATTCGCAAGAAATTGGAACATTGTTTATCAGGTCCTATGACCGATAATTTTGTTATTTTGTTTTGTCGTTCAAAAGCATTGTTTATTTTAGTAGTTTTAAGGTGTTGTTTTAGAAAGAAACTGGATCTAATAACTATCGGACCAGATCATTATCGGAGTTCTTATTTATATTTTTATCCAAACTAATAATTATAAATGCGAAAATAACTCTGTCTGCTACGTTTTCACAACTAAACCGCCGAACCAATTTTGAGGAATTTTTATATACTACTTTAGCTATCTTATTCGCTAAGCAGTAATGTGAGTATTACTGCGTTTCGGTTTTGAAGGGTGCTGGTGAAATTACAATTACCTGGAACTTGTTAACTTATGCCTGAGGGTGACGATTTAGAACTCTGAGTGGCACTGCATCTGTCATGGATAGGCATGTTGCTTACTACCAGGCGCACAACTTGTTACTTCCGTCGCTTGATATCATAAAATTAAAAAAAAAGATGGATCCTAGGAAAAGGATATAGACTACTTTTTGTCACAAAAATAAATTTTAAAGGGAGTGACATAGGGGATGAAAGTTTGTATGGAGAATGAAATCAAAATTATTTATTGTTCTATACCACCTTAACAATACATTTCACAGGATAATTAAACTAAGGAACATCGTACAGTTAAATTGCGAGGTGAACCAATAAAACTATGAAAATGAGTATAGTAATAGCCTACTGGCTATTCGAAGTACTTACTCTACGCTGACGAAGTAGCTGGAACTAGTTCGTTGTATATAATCATAAATTTCTAGTATTTCGTATGTAGTAGTAGTAGAGCTTCTTTTAAAAGAGTCCGTCCAGGGAAGTACCTTTCCTATTTCTGAACCGCCAAGTAGTAATGTCAGCATTACTGTGTTACGGTTTTGAAAAGTAAGGATGCTGGTGGAATTACAGGCACACGGGACTTGTCCACGTATATCTCAGGGAGACGGCACAGTGGCAGTGCCCCTCAGATCTTTGCTATTTAAAGCTCTGAGTGGCACTGCAACTGTTATGTACAGGAGTGTACCTTATCATCACGTGCGCGACTTGTTCGTCACTTGATAATATAAAAAAAAATTGAGTCCCCTAAGGTGAGTAACCTTATATTTATATATACGAGAATAGGCGGGCAAGATTGTTTGTTTTTATAATTAATATTATGCAGGCTTGCTACTTGAACCAAAACGTAATCTTTATAGTCATCGAATAATTATAAAAGAAGAATTGCTTAGAGCGTAATGATAATATGATGAAACAGAGTGCAACATTTTTGACGCTTACATAGTAACGGATATGCTAGCTAGACTATATAATTGCATTGTAAATTATAATGTGCAATATTCATATTTGTACATGTGCATCTTTCTTGTCCCAGTATTGAATTTATAGCAGATCCAGAAAAATTAGAAGGTTCTAAAAGTTTTACTGTTCAAAGGCATCGCTTAAAATTCTTATAGTTAGCAATAAAATCGTGTTTGATCATAATTATATGTTGCTAATAGTTAACTAATGTTTTCAGTCAGACAATCGGCGTAGCATGCACTCAAACCGGAATTCACTGTTGTTACATAATATGTTTCATAATAACGACTATAGGTATATCACAATTCCATTTTAAATATTAACAACGTTTAACGTTTAAAATGTATAATTATATTAATTTAAAGTTATACGAAATTAAACTTTTTTCGGATCTAAATCGCGTATATTTGTTTTTCAACTGCCTCTGTTGCCGAACGGTTACCATTCTGGATTGCTATGCAGAGGTCTCAGGTCAGGTTCCCGGGCCGGGAGAAATATTTGTATGGCGTACATTTATTTCTTTCGTGAGTTTGGGTGTAATTTGTGGTTGTCTATGTGTGTGTCCATGGCACCCGCGATACAAGGTTTCCCTTGGTGGGGCTATGAGTGAGTGCGTTATTATTATTATTATCTATTTTAGACTCTCGTTTCTCCCAAGGCCTAAAAGATTAATTTTATAAAATTATTATTATTATTTATTGTACGTAAATTGGAATGTTCTTTGGAAAATTAAAAATATGGTATTTATTTAAAACTGTTGCAACTACAGAGAAAAATAGGGCGGTTTGTATTAATATTAGATATAACAGGTTGATGTCTTTATCATCTCAGTCAGCCGTGACCATCGGACCTGTAGTGCGATTCACGTAAGTTCAAGCTGTCAAAATATCGTTGAAGTTACGTAGTCGTTTGATCGAAGTCCTATCCAAAATAGGTATTCACGTATCACTCGAACGAACGTTGATATGAGTAGAATCGAAGCGTAACGACTAATGAACGACGTCTTGGATTGTGAAATTTGACATTTAGTCGTCCAAAGTCTATTGAAAGAACTGTCAAAATTTTAGCAGAATACGTATGACTTGTTGTTTAGAGCCAATTTAAGTTCGTTGCATATACCAGAATACGCTTTAACGACATTTTGATCGAACGACTTTAAAATTGGCCTCGTTGACGTTCACTGTCACACGTGAATACGAAAATGCAGTTCAACGACTAAATCGCTACGATATCGTAACGGTTTGATTACGTGAGTCAACCCCCTATAACGAGCTCAAAATGGTTTGTTTGAAAAAACAAATACACGCGATTAAATTCGAAGAAATAGCTTTGTCTCCTATGTGTAAAAAGCGACAACCTAAGAAGTCGAAACGTTTAATACAATGTTATTATCCTTATTTATTGTC